GCAAACCCCTATATCCAACGCGATCGATCATATTCTGTTTAAGTCATAAATAACCCCTGGGGTTGTAACCCTGGGGTTTCCGTTTCTGCTTCCGTTTCCGCTTCCGTTTCCGTGACGTATTTCCCGTGACGCTGACCCCTATATCCAACGCGATATTCAACGGGCGTGCCCCAACCGGTATATATGATCCTCTCCATCATATTCTGTTTAACCATAACCCTAACGCTGGGGTTGTAAACCTGGGGTTTCCGTTTCCGGTTCCGCCTTCGCCTCCGCTTCCATGACGTATTTCCCGGACGCAAACCCCTAATCCAACGCGATATTCAACGGGTGTGCCCACACCGGTATATACGATCCTCTCCATCATATTCTGTTTAACCCCAACCCTAAAACCCTGGGGTTTCCGTTTCCGTTTCCGGTTCTGCCTCCGCCTCCGCTTCCGTGACGTATTTCCCTTGACGCAAACCCCTAATCCAACGCGATATTCAACGGGCGTGCCCCAACCGGTATATACGATCCTCTCCATCATAACCTTAACCCTGAAAACCTGGGGTTTCCGTTTCCGTTTCCACTTCCGTTTCCGTTTCCGTGACCTATTTCCCGTGACGCTGACCCCTATATCCAACGCGATATTCAACGTTTGTGCCCCAACCGGTATATACGATCCTCTCCGTTTCCGGTTCCGCCTTCGCCTCCGCTTCCGTGACGTATTTCCCGGACGCAAACCCCTAATCCAACGCGATATTCAACGGGCGTGCCCCAACCGGTATATACGATCCTCTCCATCATATTCTGTTTAACCCTAACCCTATAACCTTCAACCGGCATGTCCAGCGGCTTTGACTTTTAAATGCTTTCATCCCACTGGTTTGGGTCCAACGGGTTAACGCGTTCGTTCAACCGCTTCGACTTCCAATCGTTTCAACGTCCAATGCGTTAATGGGTTCGTCCAACCGCTTTGACTTCCAACTGCTTTGATGTTCAACGCCTTCAAACATCCAACGGGTTAATGCGTTCATCCAACCGCTTTGCGTCTAACGGGTTCGGGTCCAATGCGTTCAACTTCCAATGCGTTGCCCTGACCTTGACCTCCCTGAACACACCTCACTCTAACCCTGACTCTGACCACCTCATCCTCCCCCCCAGCCTCTACCCTCACTCTTTGTAACCCTAACCCTGACCCATTATCATATGGGATGATACTGTTTGAAACTGATCCTTTGAACCTGATCTACTTTCTCTTGATGTTATATCCCTTTACCCTCTGTCTCTTGCTTCACCTGCCTTTATATATATATACGTCTTTCATCCTCCTGTGGTGCCTCTCACCCGTGATGTGCCCCTCACCCATGATATCACTTGACCTCTGTACCCTCTGACTCCATCTTCCCCCTCTCTGCCTCCTGATATATCCCTCGCAGCCAACAAAACATCTCCACCAGCTGGATTGTGCTCGATGCCCTGCCCCTCAACCTTATGTCCCAAAAATTCAATCACCGCCTCCTGATCATCTGCATCCACATTGAACTCTCTCAGCCGCTGTCTCCACGCCTGCTTCATCTGCCCTGCATGACACCCATACACCATCATTGCTACCGTCGGGATCAAAAATCCCCTGTACGGACACTGCCTCTGTGTCTTCCAGCTGTTGCATATGGACTGCGGCATCCCGCATCGGAAGCACCCGGAATACCGTGTGTATTTGATCTTGCTCCGCACTGTCATCATCCATCTCTTTGCCTCCTGGCTCTCCTCGTGGGGACACTGGTACAGCTCATGGTCAAACTCCCGCTTGCCACTTGCACATATCAAACACTGATCCTTCCACCTCTGCGCCTCTTCCACTAAAACCTCCTCATCCATCAATGCCCTCTGCCCTCGCTGCTGGTGTGTGATGATGAACCGGCCTCGACGGACATCCTGCTTGTGGAATGTCTGTCTGGTTGTTGATGGGATGCCCCTGGTGTCTTCACTGATTTCACTTGACTCTTGCTTGTTCCATTGACCCGGGCTGCTCCCGCCTGAAGTTGAAGCTTCATTCTTGGTGATGCTTTCATTTATGTTGTCGTCTGTGCTCTTGCTCACACTTCTGGCCATTCTGGGACTGCATGTGCCGTTGAATCTGATGTGGGTTTCACCCTGCTGGCTCTCCATCTCTGACTCCTGGCTGGTTTCATCCTCGCTGGAGTCATCCTTGGCTGTTGCTCTTGAACTGTAGCCTGGACTGGGTGTGGGCGTGGGCGTGCCACCTGGGCTGGGGGTGAACACGGCCTCCCTGGCCTCCCACTCGGCATCGCACCCGTCACACTGGGACTCCCCTGTGTGTCGATCACCGCAGTGCCGTCTCATGTAACCCTCCACTTCCCCGTCCAGGTACCGGTCCAGCACCACCCGTCGACATCGAGCCATCGGTTCATCACCCCCCTCACCCCCTGCCTGCATGTACCGCTCAACCAGCTTCTGGTCCAGCAGTGATGGTGCATCCTTTCTTGACCATATCATTGCTGTACTGATACCCTCGGGCTCAATGATGATGGCTTCACTGGTCTGTCCATCACACCCTGCACGCCCGCTCTCCTGTCCATAATCCAGCAATGATCGCGGCCGTCCGACGTGGATGATGCTGCAGATGTTGGGGATGTCGATTCCCATGCCCAGTGCACTTGTCGCCACGATGACCTGGTGTTGACCTTGCTGGAAACACTCCAGTATGCCGGCCTTGTTGATCTGGTGGTGGTGATATGCCCCGCATCTCAATGTGCTTGCCATCATCGTGACCTGATTCACTGTCTGGCAGTACACCACCCCCTTCCCTTCTCCCGTCCATCTCATGCGGTCCTGGATGAACCTGACCACGCTGGGTGCTTGAAACCATCAGTTGACCCCATCGTAATATGACCCTTCAATGATGGGTTGTCTGCTGAAGTATGCCACATTTGTACCGCATGTTCACTCCCGGAACAAGAGAATGTCGATACTGGTGAAATGTATGTGGGACATAGTGACTTCTCCTCTTCTGGTGGCTATGTGAC